GACCCCTCCAACATTAGAGTAGTAAGACCCCTCCAACATGAGAGTAGTAGGACCCCTGACTGTTTTTTAAGCGACTTACCTTCAGGTGAGGCCTTGAGGCCTGACTCTCTTCCTCTTGGTAGATTCCCTCCGAAAGTCACTTCCTCATTTACTGTCTGGTCTCATATTTTCATTGTTCTAAACCCAGAGAAGCTGAATCACAGTAAAACGTTCTTCTTGTTGTTCATCTCCAAGAATCTTTGCTGAGTTTAGAATATTCAACAGGGAAAGTAGGCTGTCAATCAAATGTTACTACAAAATAAAAGCCCTTAGTGAGTCAGTGGTTCTTTTACAAATATGTAAATGTTGACTGGTATATAAACATGTATTTCAAGTTCAAAAAAACTTAGCATGGAGCATAGGCTAGCTAGCTATTTATCTGTCTGTCTAAATATCTCCTCCTCTCCACAGGGAGGCACCATCACTTGTTTTCGCTCCAAACTTTAAGTTAGAGAGGCGGGATCAGTTCACGTGCCCTTCTTCCAAAACTCAAGATCAGTTTGTTTGAAGTTTAAGAAGCTAAAATGTGAATTTCATATAAAACTAATTAATTGCATACATGACATAAATGTCTGCGACAGATGTGACTTAAAAGTTTCAACATTTATCTTTAGTTTCATTTGTTTGGATGAAATGTGTTGAAATTTAAAGTAACTAAACTGATATGAATTCTTAAATTACTCAACTGGTGTCTGATTTAAAGAGTTTCCCTTTTGTAACCATCATGTGCAGAACTGAGTTTGTAGAAGACAACTTCCCTTTACTGTAACACAACTGAGCACACCTCACCGCACAGCTGCCGTCAGTGGCCTCTATATGTTGATTATGTCTGAGGATGATATGACTGGAAAATATTATTTTTATTTGCAGCAAAGTAACTTGATTAATGGCTGCTGGTCAACGTGGTACGTTTGAGGCCACTAATATTTGATTATTATTCTGCATTATAACACAGTGAATGTAATCAGAGCAAGAAGAGAGTAATCGAGCCAAGATGATCACAACGAAATCAGGCTGAAACAAACAAAATGCATCATTAAACATTGATTCAGCCCATGAATACAAGTATTTACTGTCTATATACATTTGTATGTGGATTTCACACTTTAGAAACTTGGGCTGCTCCAACAAAAACAGAGTCAGGGTCGTGAGAACAGGAGTCAGGAGTGAAACTCTGGCTGTGGCTGCAGGTCGTCTCCGGCAGGAAGTCAAATCAGGACATCTTGGCTCCCGCTGCCTTGATTTTACCCATTAGCATTATTTTATCTGTTTTTTTTAAACGAGCACTCGTGCCCACGTTTAATAAAATATTAAAAATCACTGGAGTACTCCCTTCAATAACTTAGGGCCGTACAAGTTGATGACTCTAAAGGCTTAAGGGGAGATTTAAAACTGGCTGCACACAATCCTGAACACAGAGCACCAAAAAGGACGCACATGAAAGTAAATGATTGAAAAGATAAAGTACATGATGAAGCTGCAGTTGTTTACAACAGCAAGGAACTCAAACAGTGAATATTATTTTTCCAATCCAGTGAATGTTGTTTTTTTCTCTTTTCAAGGTTTAGAAACAGTCTAATCATTTCACAGACATGACGACGTACCTTATAAACATGTCTGTGACCTCATGACAAAATGAAACGGTAGCTCAGACAGATTTGGACACGTGTCTGCTGGATGTCTGAGCCACACACACACACACACACAGTCCTGTTCTGTCTCTGAACCACACACCACCACTGTACAGATGTGTTGATTGTCACAGCTCAGGAAGAGGACGCACAGTATTCTGATAAGACGAGGTGATAATAAGGGATGTGTAGTCATACAGTCAAGTTCACTTACAAAAACCTCCGGATTTTCATCCACGCACACATAAACAGACATACACACAGTAATCCAGAGAGCATTTGGGACAGATTAGATAAAATGTCATAGCGGGACACTCACTTGAGCTTTAAACATTTTACTTAGAAAGGCACAAACTATGATTTCCTGGTAAATTATTTTTGATGTAAGAAATAAAAATCGAAAGACATATCTTTCTCTTTTCATGTAAATCAACAACATTTTTCCGACCATAACTCCGATATAAGCGTTGTGAAGGACTCTTCCTAGATCAGTCTTTATTAAGTTTGTTTTCTTAATTGTTAATTTCAAACCTAAAGTTTTCCACTGTAATTTTTCTTAATCTTTTTTTTTTTCCAAAAGTGCAAGAATAATAAGAGAGCTTAATATCTGTTTCTCTCGATCTTCCACAGTACCTGAGGCCAGTGACTGTGCTACAAAGTCCATGTTGACAGACAAAAAGAAAGCCAGAGTGAGGAAAAAGAACTGAACTCCAGAACACTACAACATAAAAGAAAGTTTTCAATGCAGGAATTTGACTTCGAAAACTGAGGATTCAATTACAAAATAAGAAGAAAACTTACATAAAAATCCTCCAAATTCTGTTTCATACAGTAGATGAAATGCTTCCGGTGTCGCTCATATTAACATCAGCATAGTTCACCTTTCCTCTTAACCTTGATCCCAAAACACACACCAAAGGAAGAAGAAAAAAAAGAAAAAAAGAAAATACATTTTCCTAAGGAGCAGATTTCTTTCACTTGAACGATTCCCCCTGATCAACAGCTGACTGTTGGAACAATACACGTCCGTTATGGAATCTAGAATACAACAACTGTTTCAAACAGTATCTTTTTTCATATTCACGCCACGGTATTCGAGTTTCATTGTTACAGCTTTTTTTTAACGTTTTCTCTCGAGCCCCCCCCCCCGTTGTAATGCAGGTACGTTTATTTTCGTCGATAAAAGGAATCAGAGTCTGTTGTGGAGTCCGCAACATTCCTTTAACTCGCCGGTAGCCGGGGAGCACTGAGAACGAGAAAGAGAGAGCATGGTGGGGAGGGGGGTGGGGGATACAAAGTGACAGGGGGGGAGTGAGGGGAGAGGGGTAAAGAGGTGAGGAAGGGAAGCTGGAAAGAGAGAAGAGGCGGGGGGGGGGAGGGTCTGTGTAGTTGCTTCCATTTAAAACTTGACAGTGACCACAATGTTTCAAGTTCTCTCCGTTCTCTTCTTCACTTGTGCCTCTGGAGGGCTTTCCTCTTTCTTCTTTTGAAGAAACAACAGCACCTGCAGGAAAACAGAAGAACAAGAGAGCAACATAAGAGCAGAGATACTGACGCACCGGTGTTTGAAGGAATAATTCAACACTGATGTATATATGTTGTTGATATCAGGTCACACGCGGCCTAATTTAAAGCTGTTTCTATTAATATATGTGCAGTCATGCTGGAAATATTTGGTTAACATTGTAATTATATATATTTTTGAATGTCCTTGTGTGTTTATTGTATCTTAACTAAATGATTATTCTTATTGGTGTTTCTATTCTCACCATCTCCTGTGCTAAGGTCCATTTGCTACCTATTCAAAGCTGGATTTGGATCCAGTTCAATAGAAACGAGTCCCAACGCTAAAGCTAGCAGCACTGCTAAAGACAGACAAATGTTCTCTGTGCATCTGGACGCCTGTGTCGTACTTGGTTTCGTCAGCCACTTCGACCTCGGTGGGAGCGGTGATGGGAGCGTTGGAGTGTCCAGCTGTGGGGTCGTCAGTGTTCAGCTCGCCATTCGTTGAGCTCATCACCTGCAGGAGGACAAAAGAACACAAAACTGCTGACACACACAAACACACACAGACTTAAAGCCACTGAGCAGGGTGGAGATGAACATTCATATAAAAATATATAACCTTGATTATTGTCATCGGTCAGATGTTAAACATTGAACCTGGACTGCCCCAACTAAAGCAACTTCACAGATATTCAAAGGACATGTCCACATTTTTTTCAGAGTATTTTTCCCGAATGGATATTTAAATACTATTTACCAGCTGTAATCATTCATCCTGTTTGTACTGCTCTTATGAGATTCCTTTGAAAACGTGCTACCCGTGAAAAGGTTGGGACAAAATGCTTAATCCTTAATCTACACTCTGAAGTTAAGATAATATGAAGTTTCAGAAACCTGAAACAAGCATAGAAACATCAAGTATGTATCTTTTCAAATCACAGTCCGTCTCTACTGCACCTCAGTACGAAAACTGGAAATGTCGATGGAATTTTGCTTTAAAAAACAAACTGTACGTTGAGAAGACAGCCATCACATTAACTTCATCGATTGGATACATTCACACAACCAATAAAACGTTTTAAAAACCCATTTTTCCACTCACTAAATTTGTTAACTTACAGCTTTCTTGCAGCAATGTAAGAAAATTAGGCATTGAAAAACAAGAGCAAGAAGACAAAATGAATTCCTACAGTGGTTTAAAGTAGTGCTGTTTATTTATTACGAATCGGAGTGTGGCTTCACACGATGGAGGAGCCGCACAGTCTCCAGACCTGGAGCTGGTTTGAGATGAATTGGACGGAAAGTGAGAGCGAGGCCACCTGAATTTTTGGGGAATTCAGAAGCATTGAGGCGTCTTAATTATTTAATATAATCTGAAAAAACTGAGGTGAGCCAATACTTACACTAGTTCCATATGTTTGTATTGAAAACTGTGATTTAAGTCTCCAATTTGAAGCAAAATATAACAGGAAATAATATTTTCTGTTTTAAGAGACAGAAAAAATGTGAACCTTTCCTTTAAAAGCTGCAATTCTATCATCAGACAGTAGGTGGCACAGTACTCCCACTAGTACTATGAAGGCCACTGAATCCTGATGCTACAGAAATGTTTTTTGTCTAAATAAAGGGGAAATATACTTTAGTTTATCAGTTTGGGCTGAAACAAAAGGTAAATTACTGTAGTGTTTTGTAATGATACAAGAATCTGTGTTTCATGGGGTTTGCATTGCAGTTGCTGCTGGATGTCATGTTTGTAAGGCCCTTCCTGTGAGCAGCCTAGAGCACATGAGGTGAATGAGAGCAAACAGAACAGGCGGAGCACTGACACACAGGGATTCAAGGAGTCGGATGCAGGACGGGAGTTGAGACAAAGCACCTGACGGGGCGGGCAGTGTGAAGCCATTGAGAGACGACGGGGGTGGGACACGTACAAAACTATGTGGCTTCATGCATTAGCCATGTGAGCAGCAGCAGTCGCAGCAGCAGCAGTACCTGAACAGAGCCCCCCAGCCGCTCAGCTGTGAGGTGCGACCCCAGAGTCTCCTTATTGGTCACGGGAGTGGGCTGAGACTCACTTCCTTTGGGCTCGGGAGACTTGATGCACAGAGCAAAAAAAAGGGTGGAGGCAGGTGGTGGCAGCGTGGTGAGAAGGGGGAGGAGGGAAGAGGAGAGGGGTTGAGGGGTCAGGGGGGCGAGGGTGAGGCAATGTGGTGGGAGGGGGGTGTGGAGGGGGAGAGGTGTGGAGGGAGGAGGGGAAGTGAATAAAAAAAAAAATTATAGAAGACATCTCCCAAGCAGAAGCAGGCTTGTTAAGACAAACTATGTTAATAAGAGAAATAGAGGGAAGCAAATTTTTATGTGAAGCACAGATCAACACACTAATAACGTCATGCAGGAGTAAAAGAAAACAGCCTTGATCACCTCAGCTAACACTGCATATTAAATACACTGACGCTGTCTATGGAAGCAGGTATCTGCATTAAATAAAGACTGTCGCCCACAATGGTTATAGTGTTTTCATCTGTATTTGTTATTTAGCAGGATTACACAAAACTTGGTGACTTTTTTTGGATAGGCAAATTTCTCAGATATAAGGCTGATTTCTTTATCAAAAACTCATGTGTACAGTGCCAATATCAATGAATAGGTTACATTTGCTGCAGATCCATATAAGGATTTGCGTGTATCTGATCTCAATACATGTACAGTACATACAATATGGTTATAAGTGGCCAATGAGTGACCTCCTAGTTTAACAATACTTCAAATATACAGTAAAAATGTATAGCTTCATTGATAAGTGGGATATAATCGGTCAGTGCAGATATTTTTTTAGTTTGATGTGGTTAACTCTTCTGACCAGGCTGTTGTTGAAGTTTTTTTTTTTTTTTTTTTACAGTCAATAAGCCTGGTACAGAGAGTTGTTCCCATCCTGATAGAGAGCAGTAAAAAGAGGCGAAAGTCCACAGTTATAAGTCAGTCATAAAATGCAATGCACTGCCTTTGACTCATCACAGCATGACTTCTACTGTGATCCTGTCCGTCAGAGTGATTTAATTGTTGTTTTTGAATAATAAAACTCTTGAATTATTACCCTCTTAAAACTAACACAAGGCTCGGATAGCATGCCAATACAAAAAATCAACTCTACAATTTGTCACACACTAAGCATTTAGCTTGTCATTACTGGTATGAACAATGCTATTTGCATTGTCAACTCATGCATGCAATGACTGGAGCTTAGAGTGACAAGATGTGAAGAACAAATTAAAGCCAAACCAGTGCTGTGTTTCACAGCAGAAGCTGGAGGTCTGCCTCACGACTGTGCATGTCAGTTACTAATTACTGAGGCAACTTTTTTTAAAGTCTTATCATCTGTCAAAGACTTTGAGGGAAAGATAACTTCACTGCCAAGCAGATAGAAAAGGAACAGGAATGAAGGAGAACTGGATTTGAAAGGCAGCCATTTTGTCCAGGATGTTGCTTGCAGTTCGCCAGAACAAGTGTAGCCTGGCAGGGGAACTTGAATGACAGGGTTGGTCGGTCTGCTGGTCGGTCAATCAGACCGACACGCAGGTGAATGGGTGTGGTGTTTGTCGTGTTATTAATGCTGATAAAGACCTCACCTGGTTTTTGGTCTGCTGTTGTGCTTTGTCTCTGCTGGGCTGCAGGGGCATGTCACTGGGGATGGGGCCTATCGGTGTGGGCTGAAACACATGAAAAGAAGGAAGTGTCAAAAGTAATGCAGCTTTGAATTCGACAAAATAATTTATGATCTTTGTGTGTGCAATTTGCAAAAATAATTAGTTATGATCTGAGGACAAATGCCTAGAGAGAGCAGGGAAGCAACCATGGTCCAATCAAATGATTTCCGAGAAAGACCAGGAAGAGGACGAGAGGATTCACTAAGAGGCACTCACAAGTGATTTGCCGACCCAGTCATACTCGTAGTCAAAGACGTAGCCATTCCTATCGAACAGATCAGTGAAGAGCTTTCTCAAGTAGTCGTAATCAGGCTTCTCGAAGAAGTCAAGCCTCCTCACGTAGCGCAGGTAGGTGGCCATCTCTTCTGTAACAAAACAGAACATGATGTCAAATGAGAGAAAACTGGAATTCCAATGAGATATTCAGAATTCCAAGTAAAAAAGGAAACCTGCTGGTTCTACTCACCAGGGAAGCTTTCACAAAGCACTTCAATTGGTGTCGCTCGTTTGGTGTCGCCAATTTTCTGATACCTCTCCTTCAAAGTGTCCGCCTGGAGGAAGAAATACAAACATTACACTCAAATATTTTACAGCAGCAGTTGGTGGAGTAAATGATTGAATATAATCATGAAATGTTACAGATGCAAATCCTTTGGTTAGTTTCTGAATTACTGAGTCACCATTACACAGATGAACTTGAGCCTTGTGAGGATGAAAACCAGCTTCGTCTGCCATGGTGCTATGCAACAACAATTATGCCTAAAGCTTTGCCTAAACCCTGTTGTTTAAAAGTTTATATTCATCACGTCTCCTGAAGGGTTCTCCAGCCTTGTCAAGCTGTGGTTGTTACCAGACTGCCTGTGTGATTGCTGAATGCACTTAATAATGACAAATGATGCTTAAAAAGCCCAAAGTCCATGGTAAAGAAAAATAAACCTGCCTTGTCAGTAGCCCCGCCAATACTTCTGCATCATCATGATGTCATGTGGCATGACAAAGCGCTACATTTGCATAATGCGTCTAGCAGCTAGTCTGACGCAGCATCAAGTAAACGAGTGGGCATCTGACCAATCAGAGCAGACTGGGTTTCATCAGGAGGGGGGCCTTAAAGAGACAGGAGCTAAAACCAGGTGTTCAAGACAGAGGCTGAAAAGAGGAGCTGCAGCAATAGACAGAATGAGAAAAGTGATGCGTTTTCTGACCATTAGAGCATGAAAACATGCAACAAGTAATAAGCCAAATTAATATTATGAACCTTAATATGAGTATAATATATCTCCTGTCGCCATGTCTGACTGTATCAACAGATGAGATTGGATGAGTTTAGACTGAACCCACCATTATCAACATCTAATTTCTCTTATGCGAGCTTTGCTACACCCTCACGAACAGTAGCCACTGAAAATGTTCCTGCCAGGGTTTAATAAATATCCGGTCTCTGGTCCTTCATTGTATTTTGATGAGAACTTGTTTTGGCCTGAGCCACCCGACATCCCCCACATTCATGCATCTCTCACATTCATCCACCAAGAGCTTCCTCCCACATAACAAATGTTCAGAATGAGGTGTCTTGTCTTCTCGTCTATTCTTCGTACACCTTTTATAATCCTTCAAAAAGAAGAAAACAGATCATACTGTCCTCCTGGAACACGTGATCGAGCCCGTGTTTTAGTGCTTTAAGTTATTTCTCAGTAAACTGTGTTAAAACAGTAAATGAATGCACAGTGGAAGAGTGGAGGTGGGTTTGTTTTGTGGCATCTGACTGTTTGTGTACCGAGACATTTGCAAAGGGATGGAACTAAGTCTTTGTTTCTTAGGTAGCCAAATGCGTGACATGCGTCATTGATTTGATGACAAACTGTATGGCAGGTTAGTTGGCAAGTGGCTATGATGTCAATGGAAAGACAAGTAGGAATGTCAACAAGAGTTGTCCCAACAGTTAGTGTTACTGCAGTTACATGATGTTCAGGCACCAGCATTTGTTTCATATTTTGATATAATTTTTCTAGATAATTTTTGTGTACCAGTGGTAGCACCCACATCCATCAAATAAAAAAGGTCTCTTATGTAAGTATCTCATCAATACATTATCTGATGCTGAAATTATAAATTGAAAGTGTCAGATGGCTACAGGAGAAAATCTTAGTTAAAATGTAATTACTATACAAGTCTTGTTTTACTACCGATACTTTGTATGGTGCGCAGGCGAACTCACAAAAATGTGATTCTTACTGGAGGATATAGCTTTCACTTTTGTCAGTGAGCATATTCATTTTGCTTTTATTCTTGCTAACATCTGAGTGTACTGTGAGAAATTAACACAAATATTATAATGATAATTGTATGATATGAAGAATCCTAAAACCCGGAGAAAACATTGGTGTGTGAACACCTTAACATTGTGCATAAGGTCCACAGATGATATCAGGTTTGTTTGATACAAAAACAGCAAATGCACAAAGAATACTGAATGTTTTCTGTACAAGGAACCTCTTAGTCTTTTAAATTAAAACTAAATAGAAACAGGCACATGGATGGGGAGACGTTGAAATGTTATCATCTTGAAATGTTATTTGGAAAACACCAGGTTTTCTGTCCCTACGGCCAGTGCAGTAAGAAAAGGGTCTAGCTCTATACTAAGCATTAAAATGACTAAAGCATTCTGATGTTAATCAGTGAGTGTCAACATGTGGATGTCACAAAACAAACTACAGTACCTTTAGGCCCTGCCACGGGAGGCTACCTCGGAGGAAGTACATAAACATGTGACCCAGCGCCTCCAAATCATCCCTTCTGCTTTGCTCTGGAATTAACAGAAGAAGATGGAAAATTAGCCTAGAAACAAATTCATCTTATAACTAACTGAGAAGGAAAACAGGCAACTGGGCAGTGAAAAATGGATCACGTACGGTATAAAAGGCAACAGTTCATCCATAGAGCATGTGTGGCTGACTTTCTTACCTTTTCCCAGGTGTGTGTTGATGCTCATGTAGCGTGCCGTCCCAGTCAGACTCTTGTGCTCCCTGTAAGGGATGTGTTTTTTGGTCTCAGGGTCTATGTACTCTTTGGCCAGACCAAAGTCGATGATGTGGATGGTGTGCTGCCTCTTGCTTCCCGGCCGCCCAACCAGGAAGTTCTCTGGCTTCACATCTCTGTATATCAGACTCTTGGTGTGGACAAACTCCATCCGTGTTATCTACATGGGCAATGAAATTTTTTTCAAAAAAATCAAGATTAGCCTGTGGCAATTTCAATCACTCAGTTATCCAGGCAGTTATTGAACTTTCTACCAGTTTTGTTACATTATGTCTTAATCGCCAATCACACCGATTTCCTTTGCTTTTGCATACAGTACAACATTTCTTCCACTATTCAAAAATTCAAAGCTGTACAACAATTACTGTGCAGGTTCAAATCCGACATGCCAGCTTATCTACAGGTAAGTTAGCCATCACCCTCCTCCAGGTCTCACCAGCTGTATGGCTATCATGAGGACGGTCTTGAGGGAGAAGGTGCGGTCGCAGAGGTCAAACAGGTCCTCTAGACTGGGTCCGAGCAGTTCCAGCACCATGGCGTTGTATTTCCCGCAAGGACCAAAGTAATACACCTGAGGGATTCCCTCTGTGGAGACACACAAACACAAATAACATTTGAGAATTTGTCAAATCTAAATACATTGATAACTACTGTTGTTTACCAATACCACTTACTGAATTTAATAATCACTGATTGAATCAAGTGTACAACACTGAAGTGTTACTTCAATCTTGAATCATTGTTTCTTTTGCTCTCAAAGGTGTCTTAAAAAACACTAGTAAAACGTGAATGACACAAGATCAGAAACTGTATAGATTCTTAAACCTCCACACCCACTTCTGGGTTGTGTGTATGACTTCTGAAGAATGTTACTGGATCTACCCAGTACTATGTACTGTATGTACAGTATATCAGTAAAATCACAGTGATGCAATGATAGTGTACAACTGAGGTGCAACAAAACAAAACAAATGGTCCTCTAATGCAACAATAAGGCACACACTAGTGTTTCTGATTCTGCAAAAGAAATATATAAAAGCTTTTACCTGCTTTATGTAAATCAGCACTGAAAAAACAACTTCTTAATATAAGCAAGAACCTTACTGATATAATCTGGTTTCAATTCACAAAATCTTGAATGTATTTATGAAATGTAAGCGCTTCACTTTCATCTAAAGTAAATATATAAACATCAATAAATGAGTAAAACTGTTGATTTTTTTAATATAAAATTATGTAGAGTTCACATTATCGTCTGAATTGTAAACACATTTCCTGGTTATAAATATGTGGACCAAGGATGAACTGGCCTAAACACGATACATCATATTTTTTAGTTATGAGTAAAACACCTGAGCAAGAATATGAAAAAACCTGCACCTCTCACAGGAGAAAAAAATAAGCGCAGTCACACATAGACCGACGGTAGCAGATGCTTCAACGACAGACAGCTGACATCTTTTTCTATCTGGTAGGAACAAACAGAACAGTTGTTTGACTCCCATGACCTCATATGTCACAGCCAGAGATAATATCTCTTCAACTTCAGTTCAGATAATTTCTATCTAATAGATGCAATCTGCACCTCAGTTTAGAAGAAGCCCAGGTAAGCTAGTTAGCTGAGTCATTACACCACGTGGACTGTCAGAATTCTTTGTTAATGAGACCAAGTTCCTCATAAAGCTGCCACAACCCAATTGCTTAATCTAAAAATAACCTTTGCACATTATAATAACAACAATCATGCACCGACTAACTACGACTTACTAACAAAAGGCACAAATGCAAAGACTGATACTGAATCATTCAGTCAATACAAATAAATAAATCAGATTTCAATAGAAACTTGAATGTTGTATCCAGCCCTGAAAACTACAGAAAAAGCTGTCACATTACGTAGACGCAAAACTGTGATTCATTTGACTGGCTTATTTGTCAGCCCATCCCCATTGAAATTCAGTGGAAATGGAAGCCTGAACATGCATTTCAGATCAACTGTCAGAGAAGTTAAAAAGCCTTTCACTTCTGACAATCAAAATATAAATGAACCACCTTCTGGCCCGGTCCCCAGGTTCACAGGGATCTGGGTCAGGCTGTCCGTGATGAGTTGCTTCTCTCATCAGGCAGTCATCCTGGGACCATTGAACCATTCTGTGCTGCCAAAGGCGTAGGACTGTCTACAAGGCAGCCATGTCCCTGAAACCCAACTAACCATAGGATACCACATCAGTACTGCTGTGCCTGCTGTGGTGGCAGCACTGACGTGTTGTGTGAGCGGAGAGAAAAAGACATTGACACAGACAGGAAGAGAGTCTGAAGAATAAAACACGACATGAAAAAGGAAGAAAACCGAGAGAATGGGCAAGCACATTTAAACTTGTGTATAAGAAAGATAACCAGGAGACGGGAAGTTATCAATTTAATCTACCACATGACCCCTAAACATTGGTCCAACAGGGCAACCAGACACACCTATCTGCACTTCAGTCTCAAGGATTGTCCTGGTAATGATGCCCATGATGAATGAGGCAGTGGCAAGAGATCACTGGAAGGCTGACTCATCAAAGCCTGGCCCAAATCTAGAGGGCATTCAAAGCATAGTCATCACAAGAGGTTAGAGCAAAGTGTGACTGTGTATTATCATCTTTCATCTGTAAAGACTGGTGCTTTACAGCAGCTGTAAGCACCGGTCTAGAAATGACTGGTGGGAAAAAAGAAAACGCCCAACAGAGCACATTCTGGGGGTGATTTTGGTCTGATCCTGTGACACAGCTTGCCCACTATAGCTGTACACAATAGGATTTTAAAGAATGTATTCAACTTTCACTTACTCAACCAAAACTACAAAACAATCTTCACCAATCTGGCTCTGGGAACGGCCAGAAGACCATCAGCTGATCTAAGATGGTGTTTAAAAGTCAGCACTAAAATGTGATAATCAAAGATGATACAAAAAGGAGCCCAATACAGTGAGGCCAGAACCGGTGTTACATGGTCATGTTTTCTTAAACCAGTAATAATCCTAGCAGCAGCATTTTGTCTGTGAAAGTCTCACATCGACCGATATTATTGCCCAACTGATACATGGGTTGGGCGATAATAAAGTCCAGTCACAAAACACATCTTTTAGCTGGTTCAACATTGTGCGAAATGCTCTCCCTGCTGGCCAAACTAAATTATGCCCTGATCCCCGCTGTCTTGACAATTTTGGACAATCCAGCCTATTGTATTGGCAGGCGGGCCCTGTCAGTGTCACAGTATACGAGGGAAGGCTGCATCATGGCAGCTGAAGACAATGTTGCCATACAATGAAATGTCAGCATTAAGGTCCGAGGAGAGGAGAGGAGAGGAGAGGAGAGGAGGGGAGGGGAGAGGAGAGGAGAGGAGAGGAGGGGAGAGGAGAGGAGGGGAGGGGAGAGGAGGGGAGAGGAGGGGGAACGCGTATTAAAGATTTAGATCATGGAGTGGAGAGCATTGAGGAGGAGGAGGTGGAGCAGTGACTTCCATTAGGCCCAGTGCTCTGGAGATGTTCTCACAAGGCTGAAATGTGATCAGTGCTCGGGCTTGCACAGACTGAGCCTGGAGCTACAAACACAACATAGCTCATATAAGCACAACAACCCCACAAGAAGCCACAGGGTTGAATGCTTATCCGGAATTTTTTTTTTTTTTTTTTTAAATGGTTATTGGCTTATTTGATGCATTCCAAATTCTACCAAATACTTCAGATTTTAGAGATTTAAAACTGGGGCAGTCGTTTTATTTTCTCTGATGCTACACAGCACTTTCCTCATTCATGCAAGTGTACAAACCAGTGAGAAGTAGGTTCAATTAAGCAATTTATTCTTGTCACTATGTATTTAAGATTAGTCATGAGAAAATGTTTGTCCTTCTCCATCAAGCAGCACAATGGTTCATGTAACGTTCCACTGTTGACCTAATTGGCTTTATTACACTTATGTGACTACTGGGCATATTCATCTACCTATAGTTGGTCAGCCTAGATATGGTTAAAGATGTTTTATGTCTTCAGTGTGGCTTCTGAGGGCCCCTTACTTTTAGCTGTTAAATGATCTCATCAATCTATCCTAGAGTAACCACATCAACAGTTTTTCATTTACATTATTCACATGGGATGGTTAAGAGTCCATGATATGCATGAAATAAAAAGATCAAAATAGATCCCATGTCACTGGTAAATCATATCATGCAATCAAAAGCCTTGATGCAGCTCATGAATATTCACAGTCACACTGAAATCCATCACTGAATAATTTTATAGAGGAAAACTCCTTATAAATGTATGAGCGGTAATTACTCTAATATCTATGCATCACAGATGCATGATTGCATGAGATAAGTTGTACTATGAAATATTAATATACAATATATAACAGTTGGTCCATAAATACTGGAGGATATATCTGAAGCTCTACCGCTGACAAAGACCACACAGAGAGAAAGAAAGACCTGCTTTTCTATCACTAGCATGTCAGGTCAATTATCAGTTTTCACAACATTTTGGAGAGGCAGTATTCCCAACAGCTGGGATGTGTTCAGGACAAGAGAGAATTAACAGTGTGCAGATAAGCTCCTCCTGGGCGTGACATATTTGAGGCTCCTGGGTTATGCAGGACTAACAGGGTCACATGTCTCCATTTAGCCAAGTTGACAACATAAGTAGATTTAATCTATTGCCTTGATTCCTCCCATGCTCTACAGGCAAGTGAGCTATCCTGTCATATCATGATGAAGTGGCAAATCATCTGTAGGAGATAAGGCCTCTCGGCTTGATTGTGCATTTAATAAATACTAGTTCATTAAATTACTGAAAATGATTCTCTTTCTGGCCCTGCCATCACATGTATAACATTGTGATTGTACATTTACATTTTTTTTATTTTTTAATGTTTTATTTTAGATTTACAAAATTGAGGGCAGTTGTACCTTTATGTGTCAATTTTTGGAAGACAGAAATCCTGTAACATAGTGGGCATAAGTCAATGTAGCCTCAACAAGTCTCAACAAAACTAATGTATATTTTAAAATGAAATGTAATTACTGTGACACAGGATGTGCAGATTTACTATAGCTTCAATGGATTCACAGTAGATAATCATATACTGTGTGTACATGTAAGGATTAGAAAGTACAGCCCTTACATTCTGTAAATACATGCAAACTGGATTCTGTGCAGGATTCAGTGGAGTTAATTTTCTGCTATTTAATGCTATTTTCATATTTATATTGTTTTACGAAGAAGATAATGCGTACATGACTATGGTATTAATAAAATTCAGAGCAACTAAAGTGGCTCATGTCAATCTTTTATATCATCAACACTATAGAGGCATCACATTAGCTTGCTTTGTTATCCTAGTGCACTGTTACTGCCTGTCTCTCGTTACGTCACATATGTACGGTACAACCCCCAGACCTTGAACAATGACAGGGGAGTTACAGCAGTGGTCTCAATGGAAGAGAGGATGATAAGGACATATTTAATAAACTGGAGGCAACAACCAAAGGCAGAGAGGAACAAGCCTGGACTGGAGGACTCCTCTAATGTAATCAAAGTAACTGTAGGAGATGACAAACAGGTAACAGTTGGGTTTATGAATGTGTGGTTAGCATTGTGTGAGATACGCTCAGGGATCAGACAGAGCAGATTAAAACAAGTTCAGTGTAAAGCAAAATAAGCCACACCCTGTCAGCAATGCATGTTGGAGAGTTTCCCTGCTATCCCCACAGGCAGCACAAAGTCAATCAGGGAGGCAGAGGATCTCTGTGGCGAGGGAAGCTGTCCAAGTAGAGACACCATAACAGCCCAATTGCTTGAAGAGGGACATCTATAAATAGTCAAGGACTGCCCTATTGCCCCACCTCCTTATCAACAGTGGAGGGCTTTTGCTCTGGCACAAGGATGTGTCACTGAATCAGACCATTGCAGACACGAGTGGATCACTGCAACAACATGATAAGGCCATTTACAGCAGATAGAGAAAAACAGTAAATACACAGGCTACAGATGAAACAGTATGAAAAAGGCATAGGCGCAGGCTTGTTGTGATTGCATAGCAAACAGAAGCCAGGTCTGACTGCCTTCTGAGAACTGCAGGAACCCATATAGCTTAAGTGGAGACTACCAGTGTGGTGGCGAGTTCTGCCAGCCTGCTAGGGACAGTTACAAATTATGGATGTTTTAACATCGGGCATGATTTCTCATTTCTCAGTATTACTGGTGGCCAGTGTGACCAGATAGGTCTGACAAACCAAGATACTTTCTTTATTCCAACATGTCCATGCTGTGCATTGAGGTTAGGGTATTCTTGTCTTGCATTCAAAGTTTGTTTTCTTTCTGCATGTTATACAGACAAGATTAGCACCAATCAAGTTTCCATCAGCAAAATACTTCCACTCTTCAGACTTGTTCCTTTTAGAGGGCTGAACATTTTCCATGTCTACCATGACGTTTTCATTGATTAAAAAAAAACAAACCCAGCCTGTTTTCGGAAGACTGTTGAACCACTGGGAATTTTACTGTTGTGTAAAATGACACTGTTAACAGGTTCAAGTATAGTACAGACATGCCAACATGTATATACTTTAATCTCATTTAACTGTATTTTAGGCTAAACTATGTAATATAAAATGGGGCTTGAAGCCTGCGATTATTCTATAAGAACTGAACCATTAAGCTGTACTGTTTGCTTTTGTCAGTTTGACAAAGTAGCTGTGATGTTTGCACATGATTCTGAATTAATAAATATGCGTGGGTGTTGAAAGCTGGTCAAATCAACTTATGCAATTATGCATCTACGAAGCATGCACAGAGATGACAGGTGAGCCTTTTCAAACAGACAGCAAACCAGGAACTATCCCTGCAACCCTCTGACTCATTCCACCTCTCTCCTCCGTAACTAGCTGACCAGCCGGAGCAGATCACAGATCTGCTGCCCTAGAGCCTCAGTTATGCCCTAGAGCCTCAGTTATGCACCATAGCACATTTGCATGTTCTGGGCAGTGTGGAAGAATGAGGACTCTCAGAACTGTGGAGGTGGTTTCAGGAAAGAGGTTGCAAACAACAACACATAAATTACAGCTGGTATCATTTCTCTGCTGCCTGATGTTACCTGTCAACACTTGTGCAAACACATTTGAATATGAATCCTTGTTATCCATGTTTGCTTTCGATCCACTGGCTGGCAGTTTTCAGATTAAGAGTCATTACACTGCATTGAAGAGGCATTCTGTTCTGTTCTAATTGAATGACTACACAAAAAGGTAAAAATATAATTCATTGTTCTAAAACAACAAAATCAATAACTGCACAACAAATAAATCGCTGATCTTGTGTGTAATATCAAGACATTTTTTGTGTCAAATTTGAAAAACCTCCTCAAGGCATTCCTGAATGACAATTCCATTCATGAGAATCAAATGGTTGAGCAACCCAAACGTACAATGCCTGCGGCCAGCGCTTTTGCTAATGGCGAGGTATTAAAAAAATCCACTCAGCCAAGTAAAATCAACTGATTAAGCCACCTCCATATCAGAGTCAATGTTTTTTAGGGATTAAATCTTTGTCATCCTCTGTCTCTCTCCCATTTAAGCACTTGTACATATAAAAAGCATCAATGTCTTTGCAGCCAGTATTCCTTGACAAACAGAACCAGTAACCTCCCAAGAGAAATATTCACACTTGCAAGTCAAGGAGAGACCACTGCGACCTGCTCAGTCGTACACAGGGAAATAGATCACCCTTTAGCCAGTTTATAAAACCAACATTAAAATCACTGTGATGATAATAATAATATTGCCCTTTTAACATAAGTACAACCCATCAAAACACAAACGATCTGAACAAGAATGGATGATGTTTTCACAATCTAGTGTGACAAACCCATCCACATCATTATATCGCTGTTTATCAGTCGCAATCTACAGCTGCACTCTGTCTTACCTGAATTTCCCAACTGTTTGTAAAATCTATACTCCAAATGGAGCTGTGGCGCCCTCGACTTTATAGGTTCCTGAAAGAGATGAGATAAAAAGAAAAAGTTAATGCACAACGTCAACATTCTTTAGTAAAAACTAGAGTAGACACAAGACATAATAATAAAAATGTAATTCCACAGTCACACTGGTCAAAGTATGTCTGTCTGGTTTTCATTGATATTTTTTGTACATATATTTAATGCACATATTATATAATTCATATTTCTGCATTTCCAATCAGTAAAAAGAAAACAACGCAATGTACAGTATTTGTATTATTATTTTTTGTCATTTTGAAAAACCACTACTTTTTCATGCACTAATTACAACAGCACAGGTGCCACAGATGAATGTGTTAAGAACGTTATCCTAAGGGAAGAAAGTAGTTTGTGAGTGACAACCTTGCAAACACAACACTACGATTACCTCGGCCTGCTCTTGACTTAAATACCTACAGTAGATTGTTTCCCCCTATTTTCATGCCTTACAGAACTTTAATAAAGTCTCAGGTCAGACTGGTGGGATGTGATAGGATAAAGAGAAGTTCCAGCCGGTGAACAGCAGGCTTAAGTGATGACATGGCTGATAATCAACCCACCAGGACATATTGTTCATTATATCTCTAGCTTCAGCTTTACAACCTAAAATGTAATCTGATTAGCCCCACACTCATGATGACAAGGGCATTATAGACAAACGTGAAGAGGAGGGAACAAACACACCCACTTAAATCCTTCACTTAATCTTCAATAGCTGTGCCATAACCTGTGTTAAAGCCCTAATCTACAGTGTGAGTAGGTACAGTGTCACACACACTGCCTACAGACACTGGCTTTACTTCAGTACATAAATGTCCAACATTGATAAACAGCCACACGCAACATTTGTTGTCAGTTAAATGTAAATGATGGTGATATTTCCATTCAATTACAAGGGTGACACACACAGCTTAGTTTCAGCCCACTTTATAAAAAATGGATTGCAGGTGAAGCTAGCCCCAGTGTGTGTTAAACTTACCAATATACATGCAAAAATGCCTCAAACTTAATTTAGCCTAGCAACTTCTCCAGAGGTGCTTGAAGTAAGATTTAATCTTAAAAGCTGTTTGCCATGTGCATCTAATTCCAAAGCACTTCTATTTTAAATTACATAAACTGATAGACGAAAGGCTGTTAAGCTCCCACATTCACTCCATTAGGCCTTTATCAAATCAGGATTGCTTTCAGTTCTGGTGCCCTATGAGTGTGTAGGAGTGAACACACACAGTATGAGCCACGTTCAACACAATGAGGGTACGATGACCGTTCTCAGTCTAATACTGGTTTTTCTGTGGTTTTAGTTCAGACAGCTCTGGATTTTAATCTGCAGACAATCCTCATTTCATTCTGTCTGCCTTCTACAAAACAATAACAGCCGACTAAGTCATTAGAATTATTGATCCAATAAAGAAAGAACTCAGAAAGCCTCAGCATCTCCTAATTTTTCCACTGACCGGTGATTTGTAGTCTTACATAACTATCTGCTATGTCCTGCCTGCATGATTGACTCTGGAGTCTGGCCACAACACAGTCCTGTTGTACTTTGCTGTGATGTATTAATCTACTGATAATCTACAAAGTCAACATTACAACCCAGAACAAAATAAAAAAATCTGAACATGAGAGCAATGGTAGATTTTTCAAGGAGGTGTTTCTCATTTCTAATCTCAAAAGATGAAGTAATACGCTTATAAGTGGTTCACACAGATTCAGCACTTTTTTTAAAGAAGTGTCTTAAACAGAGTTAAGACTGTAAATCATAAACAGATGTTTCGATACACATACTGGAAATGCCTTAGAAACGGTTATAGTTTATGTTATACAAGTTGTTATTTTTTAATGCACTGGTATTAGATTAGTACATGGCCAAGATCCAAAGCCCAGGTATCAGAGTCGTTATCAGGAAAAATTAAAAACACCACTTAAACATAGTAAAACTAAGAGGACGCTTGGAGAAGCCATTCTTTGACCAAAGCTAACGCCAAATGCCATGTTGAAGAAAGAGAAAACAATTCATGACAGACAAGACAAACGCTGATGAATACATAACCTCCTTGTTGGACATTTTTAAGTTCTTTCTTATGAATAATACTGAGTTTCTATCAAGCAGTGCAGGAACTATGTATTTTGACAGTTTGATTTTGATTGCAAACAAAAAGAAGAAAAAGCAGCCATATGGTGAAAATTACTGGATTATGATGATGCAGTGTGGAAAATGGAGAGAATCAAAGTGACCTCAAAACATCCCTACAAAATACTATGATGATCTCACGCACAAAGTACAAACTTTGAAGTTTTTCTTCTATTTATGGAAAAAATTATTTCAGCATCACGCTCCCATAAGATACCAACAAGAAGGCCTGCCAGGGAAGTAAGGAGTGACTGTGTATGTGAGGAGGCAGAAACTGAGTGGAAGAGAGGAGGCAGCAGAGAGGAGTCAGTGGGAGGAGGACACGTGACGGGTCTGAGAGGCGGAGTGGGGAACTGCTGTAGCGTCATCCATCTCCCACTTGAACACGGACAATGAGCACGTCCCTCACAAGTCAGGCCATGTCAGGGAGGAGAGGGGAAGAAAATATAAAATATATAAATAATGAGTCAAAGCAGATGGCACAAGCCACAGGACCCTTTAAAACAGCTTACAATAGGAAACAGAGGCTTATGGCAGCTTTACGTACTTAAGAGATATCTCTATTCCCAGCAGATGGGCTGAGCTATGGCTGTGTAAATGACCAGGGCCGATGCAAATGTCTGATGTAACATCTTTTTATATGATAAGGATTTTTTCTCAGCTACTTCTCATCAGATATTTCCTGATCTGCTTTCTGGGATGACATGTTCAGAATGAGTGGGCCGTCCCTGACATAGCAGAGCTGCTCGTGCAGAAGCAATATGCTACAAGGGAATAGCATTTAAAGTTTATTTCAACTGTCTATGTCTACAGCTCATTAAAACCTGAACACAGCGCTGCAACATTTTATAGATGAAATGAGAGTGAAACAGCTTTTTCTAGATTCCTATCATTACCTGGCCCTTGGCATCATGTTTCAGAATATCATCTTGTTTGTAAGATATAACTGAAGTGGAGGGGACGTTGTGGGTTCCCTGTGTGGTGTCATGCAGAGAACAGCTTTTTGCCAAGTATGCAGGCCTGTGTCCAGGACAGCTGACCCGAAGGCTAGAAGGGCCCTCTCCTGTCTGACCTGCTGCTACAGGAAGCTCTCCACCTCAGCTGTTCCACACTGCAGCTGCCTGTTTTACCTTGATCTGAAACAAAACTGTCCTTGTACGATGGTGAAACCCATAAGACGACAAGCGCCGAATGGGAAATTTTAATTCTAATTACAGCTTGGAAGCTTGGAGCCTACTGTCATTAACATGCTGTATTATAGTGGATTGTTTGAGTTTCTCTAGCTTATTCAGTTTAGGGACTTTTAATGAACCTATATCAAGTACTGCCACGACACCAGCAAATTAAATAACGTATCCTAATTTGTGTATTGTGATGTATTCTGTATCATTATATCACAGGCCTGTGAAATAAAACAATATCATAACTATCTCAACATAATTCATCACCTCAATATCACAAAAGCCCACTTTATATCAAAAATATTACTAATATAATGTGTCAGCACAGTGAGGAAGTATAACACAATTAAACTAGCTAATATTTGTAAAATGTTCTGTTTCTCAAGTGTTTGTCTTTCTCTGCTTATAAAGAAGAGTTTACAACCCTAACCTTCACTCGGCAAACAATCAGCCTTTAAACTCATAAATAATGATGTAACATTTATAATCATAATTATCTTTATTGACTGCTTAGAATATTTTTTTATCCTGACTTTTGACCATATTGCATAGCTCTTCCTTATTGCGAGTGAGTTAATAATAGTGAGTTAATAATAAGGCCAGACCACATTTTCAGACTTAAAAGCTTTTACAATTATTATTTTACGAAGGCATAAAAGCCTGTTATGAATTCTTCATGTTCTGTTTAGGTTTAGGGTTGAATCGAATGATCCACGTCTGTGATTCCAGTTTACGTTTGTCATGAAGTCTGTACACTTTGTATGACAACACATCTGAGAAGTTTAAGTTACAGAGGCTTTTAGCCACTAGTTTCATTATCCCAAGCATTTCAACTATTATTTTTTTACCTATGGTTTGTTTCCTTTTTATTTTCAAAACTTTGTAAAGCAGCCTCTGGTACCGTGAAAGATGTGAAAGTTGTATTATTATTAAACTATTTATAGTCATTTTCAACTGTAATGTAAATCAGTGTCAAACTTGCAAAACTATATGCTGATAAACATGAAACACCGCAACCACAAAAAAAAAAAACATTGAGTCAAACAGATCCGACAATTTCTGTAGCCATTGGCTGGCTCCTTAATGAAATGATGACAAAGACTGTGGGGACGATGGACAAGAGGGACACAGAAACAGTGATAACAGACTATCTGCTGCTCACAGCTAAAAGGCTTACAGATTTGTTGATGAAAGCGCTACTGCTCCAGGAAGATCAAATCCTGTCGCTGGGGGTGGTGTGAGATGAAACATTACATGCCATTTCAAGGGCCCTGCTTAGGGTTAAACACTTGAAGCTTGTACAAATATGTGATTATGTCATCGTGGATTAGGTGGTGGTTTCTGTATTTCAACCTGTGGCAGCCTCCCTAGACTTGTGGGGATGGAGCGAGCCATCGGCACCACATAAAGTACTCTTCCTAGGATTAGCCAACCCTGCATATGATGTCATCTCATCTAAATCTGATCTCTGCCCCAACACAGCTGAGAAAGATCAGAACTGACCTTGGTGACTGGATGAGGAAATGACCACGAAACAAAATGAGGGAAAAAGGGAAAATTATAAATGATAAGAAGTCATCATTAAAGGGTGGAAATTAAAATACACTCCAACAAATGTAGACCACAGTCACAGCCCAAAATTAATCTCTGGTCAAAACCTTGACTATGAATTCAAAATGAAAAAC